TCTATTCTATTCTATTCTATTCTATTCTATTCTATTCTATTCTATTCCATTCCATTCCATTCCATTCTGAGATGAGACATTCCCAGCCACTGTAGCCCCTAAATCCCTGGCTCTGCACCATTCTGATGCAAAAATCATTTATAAATATTAGTGTTTTGTTTCTTGATATTCTTATTGTTATTAATGCCATATCAACTAATCACTTTGGAACAAACACATAGAGCTAGATGTCATCTTTATCCAAACACTGGGTAGCCCCACACATCAGTTTTTAACACTCATAGTGAATTTTTGTTACATTTTTATTTTAGTATCTTTCTTGCACTGTGTTCCAAGGAGAGAAAAGATTATGAAACTAGAAATGTCCTTATATATGTTTTTTCCAAATGTAAATATACCCCATGAGAAGCTTGAATCAGTGCTGAAAGTTTTTTTTTTCAGATGCTATGCTTATTCTATTTTATTATATAACATGGTGTTCAAAATATATATTTTTATCTCAAAAACAATATTCATACTAATCTAATATCTATAAATCATCAATAAATGAACCATATATATTTAGCTCTTTGAAACTGTCCCTCATCCACTGACAGTGCTGTTTTTATTCACAAATATCTCCTGTTTTCCAGTAAAACTATTTTTCTAAGATTTGGTAAGATAATCATTACACTGTTCCCTGAATAATGTCAGAATATCTATACTACAAGGTAAATTATTGTAGACATTTTCTTTACAATATTTGAAATATTCTATAACTATTTCCATTATATTCATTTTCCTTTTATGCTTTTTAAAAACTAGTTTATCACTATCTTCTTCCATTCACAGAGATACCTCTTGAGATACAGCAATTTTATACGCATGCCTGAGTCCTAATAAGCTGAGAAAGAGAACAAAAGAAATAATTTCATTTCCCACCCCCCACAAAAATGTAGCTTTTAAAACAAAACAAAACAAACACCCCCGCAGCTCTTCTCACTTCACTGAACAAGACTCAACAAATAAAGCCAGCTACAGTCAGGCTTCTAGCTATTTGAATAGGCAAACAGTTAAGTTTGAAAAAGCCCATATGGTCATGTGATCTAGGTTAGTCTTTCAGCGTTGTCCTTGACAAACTGCAGGAGAAAGCCTGAGTGAACAGATGATGAGACAATAAACAGAAAATTGCTTTTCACTGCTTTAGATTTTAGAAATGGCAGAATGTAAGAAAAAATTTATCATTTAATATTAATATTAGATTTAGGTAATAAGCATTACATGCACACAGACATACACACAAATATGTTAATGTGTTACTGCAATGTAATTATGAGAGACACCATTAAAGTGATTTCCTAAGCTTAAAACATTATGGAAAAAGAGTCTAAATGGAAAAAAAATCACTCACACTGCAGTATTTAATAATGTAAATTAATGTTGCCATTTTATTTTATTTAAAGTTATAGCTATTTGAAGATGATTAACATAACACTTCAAATAACTACTTGTTATTTTTCTAGGTTCAGGTTTCACTTAATACAGTTAGTGAATACTTTAATCCAGTGACTCATATCTGCTTCTGTAAATATTCAGCAATTTGATTTTTGAGTTAGAAAAGTATTTTAAGTGTGCCAAAAGTAAACTTTAATTTTTATTTCAACCCTTTCCTTCTTTAAATATGATTTGCTGAACAATTCTGAGTAGGTCACCAAACATTTAATATTAATAGAGCCAAAGTGTTCATAGCCTTATCCATGAAAACTCATAATGCTGGTTTTCCATTTTTCTCTCATTTTTTTGATAACTAGTCCATTTTCAACCTAAAATTGAAATTGACACACTTTCTTGCCTCATTACACACTGCACACACTATATTTTTTACAGAAACTCTTGAAAATTTTAGAGCCTGCATCTATTTGCCTGAATGGTGAAACAAGTTCCATTAGAAGGTCAGACTCTATAGAGTTCTAAGAGATCTAAAGGCATTCACTAGAAGAGATTCAAATTCTTTATGCTTTCCTAGGATTTTTGGTAAACCAGTATTGCTTTTCATGCAACTCAGGACGGCTAAATACATTGCCTTGGAACTATATCGTTTCTTTGTATATACAAGATTCTTAGTCCAAAACCCTTGAAATAATTTGTCCAATCATCCAGATCATGCTGTGTCAAAAACAAGCATTAATCAGTAACTACCTCTAATTAATCTTGGCGTTCATTTAGGCTTTTCAAACCACATCCATTTTTATTGCCTTTCACTGAATGGATTTCAGTTAAAACTATCTAATAACACTATATACTCTATCTGTTTAAACCTGCCAGCATATTTGATATTTATCATAAATTGGGTTTTGGTTGTCTTTTGTCATTGCCAAGCAACCATGTACATACTTTTAATATTATAAAAATACAAAAAAATATCTTTTTCTCTCACACCGAATGTTCAATGTGAAAGCAGAATATGTGTGAAGGAAAAGTTTTGTTCACTCATGGTTTTTGCCAAGGAAGAGAAAATTCTGTTCCCTGGAATACAAAAAGCCCATTAGCACAAACAGAACTTTGTATCGATGCCTCGCAAAACATATTTCAGGGAAAAAAAAGACCAAGGTAAAGAATTTATTCAGTTCTGCAATGTTTCTTCAGTTTTGAATAAAGGAGGTATTAAATAGTTAGCTGAAGTTGTCCTCTGAATTAGTAAACTAGACAGTTTAAATTCTGTTTCCAGAATAACCAGAAAAAAAATCTAGCACCTAACAAGAAGACTTAAGTGAAATACTGCAAAGCATTATGATGGAAGAAGCTGTTATGGATAGCAACAGAGAGATCATATTGAATTTTCAATGTAATTTATTGGGGAATATTCAACAATGGCTGCATGCTCCCAAACAACATGTACTCCTGATCATCATATATGTTGGTCTGCTCAATTTTATCAACTAAATAGAAAGACAGCATAACTTAACTTTATATTCTCATTCATTAATAGAATAGGCAGAATTGGATTTCTACGGTTGTTCAGAAATCCAGAGTTGGTAGGTGATTACAAGACGTGCAGAGTTAAAGCATGAAATGTATACCCTGGAATATTCAATACATCATGGGTTCCTTCTGAAACTTGATTTAGAATTGCTGCAACTAAATATAAGTGTCGCCACATACCTATGCTGTGAAGGGGTTGATAGGTAAGCATAGGTTGCAGATGGTTACAGACAGGCTGATACGCACACCTAAATTCCAATTGCATGTTGTGCGGAGGTGTGCATCCTACAGGCTGACTGGTTGATCTGACATCCTGTTTTGTGCTTTGCTGTTTGAGCGCCAAAAAAGCCAGAATATTAACATGTGCAGATGTATAAATGCAACAGCTATGCAACTGTCCAAATGATAGACATGTACATTCCCTGACATGCAGTGATGGAGAAGTCTAATCCAGGCTTCAGAGGCATATTTTTCACTTCATTTTAAATCCAATCTAAAATATTAAGCCCTCCTTCCTTCCTTAAACTCATCTGCTATGAACAAAGGATTTTAGATGTGCTGAAGATTGTCATTTCACATTGAAGCAGGCAGAAACTACTGTTTGTTCAAAAAGCTTAGTACAAAACTTATCTATGTTTCCTCTCAACGTGCCTTTATGAGCATAGCAACAAAAATATATTGTAGAATTAACAAGCAGGTAGAAATTTCATCTCTTTTTTCAAGATTCTTTGACATTGGTTTTCTTCTGGTTCATGTTTTTTCTCGTTCTCTTTTCTGACATTCCTGCTTCCCTCTGTTCTACTTCATCAGCTGATTTTTCACTGGCCTCTTCTATCTTTGGCAACCTTGTTCCAGAACCTGATTCTTAACTAATAGCGCATAGGAGAAGCATTTGGGTAATCTGTTTTGCATAATAAATGTACTGTGACCAGAATTATTATTTGAAAGCTGTACAACTTGAAACTCAAGTCAAATGCAGCCTACAGTTCAACGCATTCATCAAGCTTCTTCTTCTTTTGGCTCCACCGCCCCCCCCCCCACCCGCCCCAACCCATCTGCAACCCAAAGCAAAACCCCGAAAAGCCATTATATTTCCATTTGGCTTCACTGATCACAACTTTTGCAAGTTTGCAGTACAAATGTCACCAAAATTCTGAAGTCTGAATTTTCCTGGAAATCTCATCAATTTTCTCTGTTTTTACTCTATGGTAGGCTTTCTGGTGTTACATTAAGTATGAAAACTACAGTAATGTATTTCCACCGTAAGTATAAGCTTTAAGGGTATTTATCCTATTCAGACAAGCAAAAACTTCATACATAAACAGAAAAATGTATTCGTTTTTCAGGCATCTGGAAAGTTATTAAGTGACTCCCACAACATTTTGCATTCCCTAACAATTATGTCTGTTCATGAGAAGGAAAAGAACAGAAAGTTTTTGGCAGGGGAAGTCAAAAGTAATTTATATAATTTATGTTTATGAAGTAAAATATAATTATTAAAGGGTGCTTAAAATTAATAATATATTGTAAGAGCAACCCTTACTCTGGTTTTGTGGTTTAAAATGGTAAATAGGCCAAATCCTAGTGTCTGTTCATTCTTCCAAAGTCATGAAAAGCAATCCTTGGTAGTGCAGCAGGATATACAACAAAGTCAAAAGGTGGAATATATCCTTGTACAAGACATTTTTTATAGAGTGCAACATTAAATGTAAGCTATAGTTATAAATGTTTATTTAACATTTCTAAAATATTTTTTGCATTATTTAAAAATGAAGTCAAATGCCTCAAAATAAGCAGAAATATTTAGCTAACTCAATAGTTTGTTTGCTTCTGACAGAACTATTTTTAATGATCTTTTTAAACTTCCGTGCTCTTTGTGGAACATTGTCAATCTTCCAAAAAAAGTTAAATACTGCCTTCTGAGCTATAGAATATGCGTTTACTTAAGCTTCCTGGAAAAACATTCATATCATTCCAAGGGTGACTAAATGTTTTCCAACTTCATAGTTAGCATTCCAGACAGCTTTTCTTTTCCCTGAGTTCATTACATGAAAAATACCAGTTCCAAGTTCAGATGTAGAGAATTTCCTTCCTGGTGTCCAAATTCCTAATGCAGCAACAAAATATTTTAGAACTACATTGCTTAGCTTTATCTTTTAATTAAACCTTTATAGAATAAATAGAAGTACAGAGTTTACAAAATCATTAAGGGGTCAAAAAGGGGCTCTGGAAACCTTTCTTAGAAAAAAAATCTGAATATAGTAAATCTCTGAAGAGAGATTAGTTGAATCCTGTTCTTTATTAAAAAGAAAGAGCCCATTCAGAATCTCAGCTTTTAATATGATGGACAAAGCAGGATTTCCATTTTCAAAAGGGATATGTATCTTAAAACTACACTGCTGAATTCCAGTCTCTACATTTTATTGCCTGTAAGGCTGTAAAATCATATGAATGGGCAATTTGCAATTTGCTATGAATTTCCCTTAAGCATTCAGGCACGAAATCAAAGTAACAAGTTATGAGCAATGAGAAAGATTAGTCAGGGACAGAGTTCTGAGATTAAAAAAAATGTAAAATGCTCATGATCTATACAGGGTCACTGAATAGCTGCAGTACAGCATTTCTGTCTGTAAGATTCAAGCACGGTATCAAAAACTGAAATATGTATTTTCTGAAGCTTGAAAAAAGAAAATGTGGGGGATACTTGTGTTCAGGATTGGTGAACACTTTCTAAGAGGTATGTTTTTTTGTAAACAAGCCAATTTAGCCTTATTAGATAAAACACAAGCACATCACTTAATAATGGCAATCCCTGCAAGCTTGGTTGCTATTGTCCAGAATCCCATGGGGGTTGGTTAGGTGGGACAATTTCCTGCTGACTTCCCACAACCAAAGTCTGTGGGGAAGCCAGCAGGAAATTGAAAATCCCAGGTAAGTGACTGCTGCTGGATGGAAAAGGACTTAAGGGAGTGTATGAAAGATGTGCGAGTAATTGGGGAGGTATGCAGGGGAGGGTTGGGGATGGTATGCAAAGGTAGTGTGTGGTGGATGTGTTTGGCACTGTGCAGATTGGGGAGGGTGTAGGAGATGTGCCTGACAGAAGGTATACAAGGCAGGAAAAATTGTAAATGATGATTATGATGATTGCAGAGGGTACTGAGATGGCTGAAATTCTGAGTTCTAGACATAACCAATCAGGACATTGTAAGTTTGAATGATTTCTGAAGATACAGTCATAGCTTGAGAACTACAAGTGAGGCAGAAGGAAGACTGCCTTCAGTAAGACTAATTATCTGATCATATCTGACTGCCGCATGACAATGTATTATTATCACCCATTCCATGAAAGCTGTAGATCAAAGTGAAAAAAGTTTGAATAATAAAATTAAAGTGGATCTGAAACTCTACCAAGCGAGAAAAAAACAACTATATACTGAAAACTGGCACAAACAAATGTTCAAATTAATTACACATGTAGAGATTTTTCAAAGAATGCCACGTCTCCCCCTTTGTTTTGCAGATAGCCTATATTATCTAATATCTAATGCAGTCATACAAAACCTTACTCTGCTCCAAAACCAGTTCTATTCATTGCAGTTAAAGCTGATGGCACATGTTTTTCTGTTATTAGATAAGGGAAGAGCTTTTGTTATGTTTTCAAAAATAGGAAACACTATAATCAAAGCTATCTATTCTTTCCCACAAAAAAAGACAGGTAATTAATTTTCCCATGTCTGACCTTCACACATTGGGCAACATTCTCCTGGAACCTTTACAGGATTCAAACAACTTTGTCCACAGGCTGTGGCCACACAGTGGGACTCTCCATTGATGCACTGGCAGAAAGTACAATCATCTTCCCTCCAGCGGTCACCATGTGCTTGAATCTGACCATTAGCATAACATCCTGCAGGGTTGCTAATTGGAGAAATGGAATCTAAAAGCAAAAGAACAACAACAACAAAAATTCTACAGTTAAATAAAGCTTAAATAGTTGAATTCACCTACAATTATTAATGCATATTCCTTGTTGGTAACAATGGGTTGAAGTTCTCAGAATTCATCAAGTCAAGATCAGAATTTATATACTGCAAGGCCACACTGTTATTGGTACAACTGCAAGACTATTCAGATAGTTGTTGACTTACAACAGTTTGTTTAGGAACTGTTCAAAGTTAGAATGGCACTGAAAAAAGTGACTTACGACCGTTTTTCACACTTACAACTTTTGCAGCATCCCCATGGTCCCAATGTCAAAATTCAGATGCTTGGAATTGACTCATATTTATGATGGTTACAGTGCCCTGGGATCATGTGATAATCTTTTGCGAACTTCTGACAAGCAAAGTCAATGGGGAAGTCAAATTCACTTAAAAACCATGTCAACTAATTTAACAATTGCAGTGATTCACTTAACAACTGGGGCAAGAAAGATTGTAAAATGAGACAAAATTCACTTAACAAATGTCTCAGTTGGGCTCAATTGTGTCATAAGTTGACGACTACCTGTACTTTAAAACTATAAAAAAAAATCCTCTTCTGAATGTTATGACAATTAATTATTAGTAATACCTAAAGTGATATAGTTTATTTTCATAGGGAAAAAACAGGACTATGCTTTTATAGGAAATATTTGTGAGCAATGGAGATTATATCAAATTACAATTAGCCTTGCATTATTAATCAGAGTTGTGCATAATGACAATGGTGAATATACATTTGTATATAAATGTATTAAATATATTTAAAAACCAACTCATTTCAGTTGGACCAATATCAAGTTTCTTCCATATCAACTTTTAACTACTGCTATAAAATATTGTATTTAGCCTTTAAGGCTCATCAATTCCTGAATCCAAGCAACAACAAAAATTACCTTCGCATACTGGACAGCACTCTCCTTCTGGTACATAGTATCTATCACAGTGTAGCTCGCCACATTGTGCAGAGAAACAAATAGATACGCCACCTTGGCATTGACAAAACCGGCAAGTGTCCATTCGGAACATGTCTCCATCATTATATTCCACGCTATTAAATATACACGCTGGCTTCACTTCTAAAAATAGCAAAGAAGAAAAAGATATTTTTCATGGAGATGTTGCACAACATTAAACACTAGAAGGCTTCATTCCTGAAATTGAGTTTTGTGCAATTAGCTGGCCTTAATTCAGACAAGAATCAATACTTCTGTTAAACTGGATTTCTGGTTTCAGAGATTCTGGGCTATTTTCCATTTAAATATATAATAACATCTAACAGTGATATATCCAATTCTTTTCAGAACATGCTTCATCTTATAGAAAATGATTTTTATGGCATTTGTAGTATTTGTAAAGGAATGGATAATCAATAGTAATTAATAAATCTATGAATTTTGATATGCTTTTTTTAGGAAGGGAAAAACTACTGAGTTTATTGAAAAATCAACCACTGACTGTATTTATACATCAGAGTATGCCATAAAGTACAGTATGCATATTACAACAGCCTGTCAAACCTAAATCAAACAACTATCATCACAAAAATATTTCCAACTGGCCAGGAAACAGATATGCAACAGGTACCACATTCCTTGCCTTCTTCATTAATAATTAATAGTTGGAAGTAGATATTTAGTATAATTGACTAACCTTCTCTACTTCTATTTTCTATAGTGAAAAGTGAGGGTAGTGGAAATATCTCCCCAAATTTAGCTTGCTGACAGATTTTAAATTTGAGGAAGGGCGAATACACAAGAAGGGTTCAACTGTTAAACTTGAGCAGGTTTGAGGATTTCAAGAAAGGTCAGCTAAATATAACTTATTTATTTTTATTGTGTTTTTGCTCTTAGGATTTCTTTGCCTCAGGTGCAAAACAAGGTCCACTTTGGATGATGACTACTACTTTTATATTTTTATACAATGAGACTGGGAACTTGTAACATTATTAGATTCATAATTTCTAGGTAAACATGAACAGCCAAGCTTGCACATACCTTGCCTTCATATCAAATGTGGCATGAAATACTTAATTGTGTAATTAATTTTTTTTTCTTGAAGGGTCGTAAGGACAAGACATACAAATATAGTTGCAGGAAAAGTGTCGAAACATGGTAGCGTACTAGCTATTGTTTCCCACAATTCAAAGACAGAAAGCTAAGAATACATACAACAGTTGTGTATGGTCCCAGTATTACAACACCCATTTTTTAAAATCATTTCTCGAATACATACTGGTTGTAATTCAAACAGAGGCTCTGATTGACAATAGTATAAAACTTTAAAAATAAATCAATGATTAAAAAAGAACAAAGTATTCAGTAATATCAGAAGACAATGGAAAATGCACATCACAAAAATAGTTTGCTTTCTTAGATAAGAACTACATTTTTTTTAAAAAAAAATATTCCTATTACCGTAGTTATTAGTTACAGCAAAAAAATTATTAGTTACGTATTAGTTACAGCAAAAAAATAGGAAAATAAATTTAAATGAACTTGCCATTTATAGGTATTACATCTGTTCTAAGTCAAACATCATACCATAACTACTTAAATGAAATTACTACTAATTAATAAAAAAATCCTGGGCTATAACTGCTTTCTTTACTATCATTATTACACCAAGAAATTACAGAAATACTTATGGGGCAACTTTAAAAGAATCAGACAAAAGACACTGCATCAATTCATTTATAGCAAACTACTTCTTTGTATAGGTTATATTAATGCTTATATGCTTTGAAAAAATTATGAAGCATTTTGAATAATATTTTAAATATTGTATGATTTACAGTTTCTCTTTTTCCCTTTCCCCCCTCCCCTAATTTCACACTATTTTCATTTTTCTTTGTATTTCATATTCCAATAAACTAATACTTTTTTGGATACAGATAAAAACGACAGCCTTGAGGTGGTTAGTAGCACAATGCTTTTGGAAATGTAAGATTTTTCAGTTTATAATCTAGAACTTTCATATCAAATTTATATTTGCATACTAATTACTTTCATAAATTTTATTTGTATCTAATGAATGTTATTTATGACTGATTAAGTGATTTTAAATTACTTTTAAAATTTAAATACCTTTTATGGATTTAAATATATTCAGTATTAATATTTGTACAGTTTATAATTTCATTGATGATGACAATGATGATGTGACTTCAAGTCATAGTTTTGTGGTTTCTAGCCTGGTGTCTTAACTACTAAACCAAACTGACTCTATAATCTCATTAATATTGGAATAATTTTCTTTGCCCAGGATTACCGATAAATTACCATAAATCCAATTTTACTTGGTTACACCATACTATACTGACATAAAGGATGAGCATTTGCAAAAACATTCTGAGTCTGAATAGTAATTTTGCATAGTTACTCCATTTTGCTGATAATAAATTCTATTAGAATGTGATGTCACTATTTCTACTTATTCACATTATCATTTTAATTAATTTCACAATAAACTACTTCCCCTACAGCAAGAGACATTAAGTGGGAATGTTGGGACTCCTTCATAAGCATACTTTTCCATTTCTGATAAGCCCATTTTAGAAAGGTTATCCAGATAGTTCTTGTTTACTGACTGCCTCATTCAACAACCATTTAAAGTTACACTGGTGTTAAAAAAAAAAGAGTTGCGACTAATCTTTGCATTCATGACCACTATGATGTCCCCTGGTCATGTGATCGCTATGTTTGCTTTGCAACTGGATGATACAGTTAAATGGAGAAGATGGGAATAAAATCACAAGTTACAGCCATGTGATGTTTCACTTAATGACTGAATACAAAGTGGGGCTTTAAGCCTGTTGTGATTATGTGATTTTTCCACTTAGCAACTTGGCAATTAGCAACAGAATTGTTGCTCTCTAATGGGATCAGTAAGCAAGGACTACCTGTACATTCAGATGGGACTGCTTGCCCTCCCTCAGTGGCAAATCCTAAAATATGTGGGCATGTACACTTGAATACATTTGCATATATGTGCGCATAAGTATGTATGCATAAACAGAAACACATGTATAAAAACAAAAACAAAACAATTTCTGATTTCTGAGTTAAGAAAAACAGAGAATGGCGGACCAGTCTCTATATTTTTCAGTCTTATTCATTATTATTTTTGGCTATTATAGTGTTTCACTAACTCTTTAAAGGTATTGACTGAACTGTTTCTTCAATAATAGCGAACAAATTCTGATTTTTGCTTTCTTCAGCTACTGTGGAGTAGAATGCACTACTTGGAACTCTTTAGCTAAAGCTGAAAATTGTCAATTATTCTTCAAGTTGGTGCTTTGTGGTTTTGAAGAATTATATTTTTTAGCCATTTTGATAAATACAAATTAAGTGATTACTGACATCTGCTAAGGCAAAACTTGTCTGTTTAATATTTTAAAATGATCTCTTCCTAAGAAAGAGACAGAGGTGAAGACTCCTGCCTCAGGAAGCATTCCAGAAGCTTTAACCAGAGTGTACAGGAAACAATTCCACAGAAAGATCTGTATCAGTAGTTGCAAGATCCGACTCATGTCACAACACAAAAAACACAAGTTTAGTTAAAACTTTTTGTTCCCCACACCCTTCCCTGTAGCTTATTTTTTTAGCTGAAACTATGGGCAGCATACTTTTTCAAACCTCCAACCATATGTGTCAGCATGCTCCTCAGAATATACTATTTGAGTTTATAAGCAAACTTATAGTAAGTCCATGAGTTCATATGAAGTAAAGAAATAAATAACAGTAATGCAAATGTTGGTTTTTAACCTATGTACAAAAGATTTGCAACATAAATTTTATGAAAGGAAAATGGACCTATTACATTTTTAAATGTAATTTTTTTACTTGCATAGTAAGGATGATATCAATGTTATTCATATACTAGTATCTCAAAATGTTTAGTCCAAATACACTGTCAACATAACATACCATTGACACATTCAAAGACATCACAGCACTTGCCAGGTGTTCCGTCTCCACGTGACACTATTTGGGGGATGAAGCCTGGCTCGCATTTTGGAACACCACATAAACCTGAGAGACATTCGCACCTGAAACCGAAGCATTGAAAGCTCCATAAATAAGTGAAGCAACACATGGGATGGAAAAAACAAACGGAAAAAAAGCAAATTGTGAAAGCCAAATGGTTTTCCTTTGTTACATAATAAAAGGACAACATGACTGTTATCAACACAACACAATTTAAAAAAAAATAATGTTCAAAGGACAATGTTCAATTTTTATCTGAAGACTGGTGTTCCAAACCCCATTGTAGCTGGGGGAGATCTAAATGTATTAAAAAGTCACTAATGTTTTCAATTATATATAATTAGTATCTATAGTTGTTGGGAGAATCACTGTAATAAAAAACTAAAAAAGCACTGTTCTCTATATCAGTTAGTTTAGTCCCACCAGCAGGTTCTAGGTTTAAATGACATGAAATGCATGATAAGGTAGGAGGGGTAATAAAGTTATCTAAGCTTCTAACTATTTCCAATTACATCATCAACATATCTATCAAATTTCCTTGTCATTTATACTTTAAATTGCTTAAGATTTTTCAGCATGGGAAATTGCATAGATTTGAAAGCTTCTATACTCCCAGACATTTTCTGAATGGTTTCTTGTTTCAACATAACGTATTTGTATAACTAACTTTAAAACTGTCAAGTTTTAATCTACTAATAAGAAATATTTAGAATTAGAGTTCTGATTACAGGTAGCTAAGGTAGCATTAGAAAGAAAGTATATATCAGTGATTCTTTAATTTAGCAGAATGAAAAATCCTGTAAACAAATATAGAAGACTAAAGGTGAAGATTAAAGTGACCATTTTTAAAAAAATACAGAGGGAGGCCATTTATTCATGGAAGTGGATTAACCTCTTTTTCCTTCTATATTTAATAAGAAAATTCATATTTGCCATTCTAATAATTTGTAATTATTAAAGCTTGATGACTGGGCACTTTCCACTCAAGATTAACTTAAATTCTTGAAATCTTTCTGGTCCAAAAGACCTCTAAATGGCCAGAACTATTAAGAAAAGGGGGTGAAAATAATTGTTCTGAAGATAAACCTATTCCAATGCAATAATGGTCACAATTATGGCTAAATATGCGGTTTCCTGCCTGCTGAACCTTGAACCTCATCAATCAGCATTTTATACCAATATTGTCACAAATATAATACTATTTAGAGCTCTGTCAGCACAAAGTGTGTTTGTACCTGAAGTCCAGCTAACACATCCACAGCAATTTAGCAATTTCATTAGAATGACTGAAATGGCTTTGGGAATTAAACTCTGCGTCTTTGGAGCATGTGACATTGCGAAATACATAGAAAAGGGATAGGATTAGTGTTGAGATACTGTTGCTATCAACCTAACTACCCCTTACCACTGTGCCCCACATATTCTATTATAATGGTATGGAGGATTTTCTTTTTGTTTTCTGCCAGGAAGGTAAGAATTGTTATTTTCTTATGTACAGATAAAAAAAATCCAATCTCTATTTCAGGAGCTACATGGCATATATCAAGCTGGTTGGGTAGCCTGGTTCCCACTTACAATTTATTCCTGCTTGCTCCCTTTGTGAGCAAAAGAAAGATCTAACTTCATTATTTGCCCCCCAAAATGGTTATCAGTATTAAAAATATCCACAATAATATTGTGCAGAATATGTTCAAGTTATCTTATAAAGTTCTACAACACCATCAAAACTTTTTTTTCTAGGCATTCTTTCTCAACATGTATTATATGAAAGTCCTACCAACATTATCAGCCGAGATTAAACAAATGTATTTTTGAAACAGTGATATTAAACTTCTGGAAACCTTTCTCCAGGAATTCTTGCTATACACAAGAATATACACTGCTCAAAAAAAAATAAAGGGAACACTTAAACATCACAATGTAACTCCAAGTCAGTCACACTTCTGTGAAATCAAACTGTCCACTTAGGTAGCAACACTGATTGACAATCAATTTCACATGCTGTTGTGCAAATGGAATAGACAACAGGTGGAAAGCATAGCAGTTAGTAAGACATCCCCAATAAAGGACTGGTCCTGCAGGTGCTGACCACAGACCACTTCTCAGTTCCTATGCTTTCTGGCTGATGGTTTGGTCACTTTTGAATGCTGGCGGTGCTTTCACTCTAGTGGTAGCATGAGACGGAGTCTACAATCCACACAAGTGGCTCAGGTAGTGCAGCTCATCCAGGATGACACATCAATGCGAGCTGTGGCAAGAAGGTTTGCTGTGTCTGTCAGCATAGTGTCTAGAGCATGGAGGCGCTACCAGGAGACAGGCCAGTACATCAGGAGACGTGGAGGAGGCTGTAGGAGGGCAACAACCCAGAATCAGGACCGCTACCTCCGCCTTTGTGCAAGGAGGGACAGGAGGAGCATTGCCAGAGCCCCGCACAATGACCTCCAGTGGGCCACAAATGTGCATGTGGCTGCTCAAACGGTCAGAAACAGACTCCATGAGGGTGGTATGAGGGCCCGACGTCCACAGGTGGGGGTTGTGCTTACAGCCCAACACTGTGCAGGACGTTTGGCATTTGCCAGAGAACACCATGATTGGCAAATTCGCCACTGGCATCCTGTGCTCTTCACAGATGAAAGCAGGTTCACATTGAGCACATGTGACAGACGTGACAGGGTCTGGGGATGCCGTGGAGAACATTCTGCTGCCTGCAACATCCTCCAGCATGGCCAGTTTGGCAGTGGGTCAGTAATGGTGTGGGGTGGCATTTCTTTAGGGGGGCGCACAGCCCTCCATGTGCTCACCAGAGGTACCCTGACTGTCATTAGGTACCAAGATGAGATCCTCAGACCCCTTGTGAGACCATATGCTGGTGCGGTTGGTCCTGGGTTCCTCCTAATGCAAGACAATGCTAGACCTCATGTGGCTGAAGTGTGTCAGCAGTTCCTGCAAGACGAAGGCATTGATGCTATGGACTGGCCTGCCCATTCCCCAGACCTGAATCTAACTGAGCACATCTGGGACATCATGTCTCGCTCCATCCACCAACACCACGTTGCACCACAGACTGTCCAGGAGTTCGGGGATGCTTTAGTCCAGCTGTGGGGGGAGATCCCTCAGGAGACCATCCGCCACCTCATCAGGAGGTTGTAGGGAGGTCATACAGGCACGTGGAGGCCACACATACTACTGAGCTTCATTTTGACTTGTTTTAAGGACATTACATCAAAGTTGGATCAGCCTGTAGTGTTTTTTTCCACTTTAATTTTGAGTGTAACTCCAAATCCAGACCTCCATGGGTTGCTAAATTTGATTTCCATTTATATTTTTTGTGTGATTTTGTTGTCAGCACATTCAACTACGTAATGAACAAAGTATTTAATAAGAATATTTCATTCATTCAGATCTAGGATGTCTTATTTTTGTGTTCCCTTTATTTTTTTGAGCAGTGTGTGTGTGTGTGTGTGTGTGTGTGTGTGTGTATGTATGTATGTATGTATGTATGTATGTATATGTGTGTGTATATATATATGTATATGTATATGTGTGTGTGTGTGTATATAATACACACACACACACACACACACACACACACACACATTCCTTCTGAAGAGATGAGTTAAGAAAAACAGAGAAGGATGGCGGACCAGCCTCTGTATTTTTCAGTCTTATTCATTATTATTTTTAACTATTATAGTGTTTCACTAACTCTTTGAAGGTGAACTGTTTCTTCAATAATAGTGAATTCAGAATTTCTTTTGTAAAGTTGAAACTTTTATTAATAGTAATCAAATAAATTAATATTTAATATTAACAATTAATTCTTCTATCTCCAGACATTTCTGGAATCTGTGTTTTGGAAAGAAAAGACAGCAACTTAAATGAAAATTATTCAAGCTAAAGCTTATCCTAAAGTATAGCTTACTAGACATTATACTGATCTAATAAAATACATTAATTTAAAAAGTATGATAAATGATCTTGCAGTTCAATTTCTATCCACATTTCATATCAGATTTTTAATGATCTTTCCATGTTATTTAAAAATTTACAGTAGAAGAACACAACTAGATTTATGAAATTCATGGAATGATTAATTAAGCGAATCTTTCAAGCAGATAACTAATTCTAATCTTTAGAATATTACCATCACCTCACACATATAGACAACACTGGAAAAAATAAAATATTAATAGAGAGGGTACTGAATTAGAAGCTCCCTGAAAATAACATCAAACTGTATGATAATAACTGCTATTAATATATGTGATATATTGAAAACAACTTAAGATATTAAAAATCTTAAGGAGCTGTTGTGTTGCAGTGGTTAGAATGCAGTATTGCAGGCTAATTCTGCCAACTGCCAGCAATTCAATTTACATTGGCTCAAGGTTGACTCAGCCTTCCATTCTTCCTAGGTCTGTAAAATGAGGTCCCAGATTGTTGGGATCAATAGGCTGACTCTGTAAATTGCTTAAAGAGCGCTATAAAGCCCTCTGAAGTGATATATAAGTCTAAGTGTTATTGCTAAATAGAAGCAATTGTATAAATTATTGGATTCTAAAATAAAGGCACATCAGATTTTTTTTGAAAGAAACTCACCAAGGTAGAATATACCTTATTTTATATAACTTTGCATTACTCAATAGTTTTTGCAAACATGTTTCTCAATGATGAACCCAGGTTAAAGTTTTAAAATCATTTAGATCAGGTGTGTCAAATTTGATTTCACTGAGGGCTACATTAGGGTTGTGTTTGACCTTGGAGGGGTGGGTGGGCGTGGCCAGGGTGGGCATGGCCCATCTCAATGTCACTCATGTTGGAGGCGCCTGTGGTGGCCCGAGAGCTCTGCCGAGTTTTGGCTGGCAGAGTCACCGCGGGACAGTCCTTTGCTATTTCCAGGGCAGCCCCACGGACCAGATTAAGCACTTTGTGGGCTGCATCTGGCTACGTGGGCCTGACTTTGACAACCCTAATTTAGATGACTGAAACAAGGCTGCCAATAGATTGTGATGAATTCAAGAGCTCTGTTAATACTTTTTTCTTTAAGTATGCATGGGTACATGCTGACAAAGTCTTCATCTTGACTACAGGGACAGAGACAAGAGTAGAGGATTATTTTATAGTAGAAGCCAGACTTACATTTTTTCCCTATAGAAAATGTACTAGCAAAGCTCTACTTAAGAATACTCTATGAATCTATAACAGGGCTAAAGGCAGGAAGAATACTGGGACAACCATACATTTCAGAATCAGTTTCTAGAGAGTTTCAAGATTCTTGATTCTTTTTCCCACAAATGGTTGAAGTGGTGCCTGAATAATCTGTCACACAGAGAGCACACTATTTGTAAAGTGAAATTTTAGAAATTTAAAGTAAAATACTATATTTGAGTAATATAATGTATCACATGTTATATCTTACAGCTGTTAATCTAAAAAAAACATATACAGCTCCTTGACATATAGGATATGCTGAAAATACATCTTGGTACTGAGATGACCCAACATAATACTTTAAAGATTTTAGGGTAACCCGAAGTATCAAATTTGATAGCCATAAAGCCTATTTATACATGCCACAAATGTTTCATATTAAAGCTGTATTTTTGTTTTTTTCAAAATAGATTTTCCTCAAAACACAGGACTGAAAGAAAGCTATTCCAGGTTGTCATTAACACTTTTCATAGAATGATTATTCAGTCTAGAAAATCTTCCATTTGAAACCCAACATTCTTTATTAAATAACATTAGTTAACATAGTAACTTAATAATCAGTATACTAATATACTTGACTTTTTTCTGTCACAAGTTTAGTGTCGGTATACTACGTGACTGTGATACTATGACATCAGATATAACAAACCTTGTGGGAAGAGTGCAGCATCCATCAGCTGTCAGCCTGACTTGAGTTTCATAGCTATCCAAAGGACAGGCAACTTGTTGGACAGGAGGGCATTCCACTGTACTACAGTCCACGCTGAACACTGGTAGGAAACAATTAAGGTAAAGAAAAGAATGAAATAATCTCTTTTTAGAAAGCATAGTGATAAACTTCATCAGCTATATATCATTTGAACTCTGCTGCCGGAGAAGACTTTTAGTAATATCACACACAACCAGAAAAATAAACAAATACACTGTTGAACAAATCAAGCCAGAGTTCTCATTCAAGGTATTTAAATATTATATAGCTTCATGTCTATTATTCTGGACACACTGTGTGGAGACATCATTCCTTTGATGTCTATAATACCTGGAACAGTTAAAAGAAAAAGAAGAAAAGGAGAGCAAGCAGTATGTTGGATAAATTCTATTAGGAAACCAATGACAGCATCATTAAGAGACCTAAAAATTCAAGTTGAATCAGGCCATTCTGCAGAAAATCTATTCATATAGTTGCTAAAGATTGACACCAACCTGATGAGATTTTAATCAATCACATCACAATGTACACCACAGTATAAATATTAAGTGATACACATTGTATTTTAAAATTAGTTGTTGAATTATTATAAATGTAAAGAGTAGGGCTGTGAGATATTTTATTTAGTTTTTTTGATTCATGGCCAATACAACTGAATTGCCAAACTCAATTATTTTCAAATTAACTGCCTTTGAATAGATCTGCATAGTTGAATTATGTCAGGTCAATAATCTGAATTGGACTGATGATTTGTATCAGATTAGAGCCAACCCATACATCCCTAAAAATCAGTCATTTATATCAATCATATTTGTTGTAATGCAGGTGCTAAATGATGCATGATTTTGGGATCCTATTATCCATGCTGGAAGATCTACACAAGTTTGCTAATCTTGCTTGGGAACATGTCAAGAAATTTTTGGGAAGTACAGTAAAGCTTTATACCAGGCAAGGGATGTGCAGACTAGATTTAGTGGGACACTGAAAAATGTATGAATGTGGGAAAGAAAACTTACTGTACATTTTTGGAAAATTAATATGAGGAAGTTAATAGGCTAGAATAATGGGATGTTTTGCATAAATATTATGCCTTGTTGCTGAATATGTTAAAAGCATTATATAATGGAAACAAAGAATGTGGTGAGAATAAATGAACTAGTTTAGTGAACAGGGAAAATATTAAGGATATGAGATGTTTCCTTTCACTGTTAAATACATTTATGGATAAAGGGAAAACTGAGGATGACACTAGAGAAGTGTTAGTTGGAACCACCAATGTGGCTATACTTTTGAATGCAGATGATACTGTATTGTTGGCTGACAAGCTTAACAATTTGCAGAAAGCATTAGAAAGGTTGAATGAATATGAAAATTAATGAATAAAAAGATGAAAATCTTTGAAAAGGAAAACAAAGTTAACAACTGGAAATATATAAATGTAGGAATGGGCATTTTTAACTGGAAACCAGAAGGAACTGTTGGAAACTAGCAAAAAACATAGAAAACCTCAGTCACAAGACTATGTGGGATGTTGTAACTGGTCATAAGTATGTGTGTGTATGTATCGCTGTCAAAACACCAAAAACAGGTCAAGTAGCTCTGGGGAGGCCAGTCGTAAATTAGAACACTTGTTAAGCAACTGGCCATTAAGCGAGGACCACTTATATTTGGATTGCCAGTCACATGCCCACCTAGCCACACCCAGTCAGCAAGCCACGCCCACCCAGTCACATGACCATCAAGCCACACCCACAAATTAGGCCAGGCCCATATAATTGGTTGTTAAGAAATTTGAATCTCACCCCAGTGTATAGGTGTCTAGATTTATACCGGCATACTCAATATTTTTGGGGGGACTCACATACGAACACAATACAGAAGCCTGATGATGGCAGATGAGATTCTGCCGAAATGTTGCTACAACTTTAAAAGCACAACTATAATGACGTGGGAAAATACCTGAACAAAGCTGAATAGTATATATCGATCGATCTATCCATCCATCCATCCATCCATCCATCCATCCATCCATCCATCTATCTATCTATGGTATTCAGCTTTGTTCGGGTATTTTCCCACGTCATTACAGTTGTGCTTTTAAAGTGCTACAACTTTAAAAGCACAACTATAATGACGTGGGAAAATACCCGAACAAAGCTGAATACCATACATGTAAGTACCCGTGAAAACTTAAGAAAACACACACACACACACACACATATATTTGGTTATTCGGGTTTTCTCGCACGTAAAATTGGAAGTATCTTGGCAACGTTTCGACGAAATCTCATTCGTCATCTTCAGGCTTGTGTCTTCGGCTTTGTGCTTCTCGGAGTAATGTGAGCTTGGAGCTGCTTCTTCCTTTTAACTGCTAGTGGGGGTGTGACTTGATTGGGTGGGGATTTGGCTGTGTTCTGATTGGTTGGGGGATTGGCTGTGTTCTGATTGGCTGGGGGTGTGTTCTATTCAGGTGGGGGCTTGGTTGTGCTCAGGTTAGTCTTAGTTGCCGGGGGATTTGAGCTGGTGAGCTGTGATCCTGTTGTTTGGCTTCGCGTTCATGGTCGTGTCACATCTTCATGGTGGGTGTCCATTCGCTTCATATATGGGTCGGAGGGGTTTGAAGTGGGTAGTGATGCAGCTGCGGTACGGCTTCTGGTCTGTGGTCGTGTCTCATCATCTGTGTGAGTGTGAGTCTGTTTTGTATGTGGAGGTGTGGTGGTAGCATCTTGTGTGGCCCTCGTCGGTGTGGGTCTGGTGTCATTGTTCATGTTAGGTACTCGTTTGTTAGTGAGGGCGGGTTTCCAAATGGCTGGTAGGTGGGAATCCATGCATAATCCATCAACTCACACGTAAGAAACTCATTCCAGTTCATTGAGATCATAAAGAAACAAAACTTACAGCCCAGCAACCTACTAGTGAGCTTCGATGTCATATCCCTCTTCACCCAAGTGCCAATAAAAGAAGCCTTGACAGCCATCCAAAACAAATACAACCCCCCCAAGCACATCCTCGATCTGACCAACCACTGCCTATCCAATACATACTTCACCTACAGTGGACAAAAATACAAACAAATAGAAGGAGCACCAATGGGATCACCCCTCTCACCTGTCATTGCAAACCTCTACATGGAACACTTTGAAACGCAAGCTCCACAAAAATATGATCACAAACCCAAACTCTGGTTCAGATACATAGATGACACCTTCATAATCTGGCCACACAGGAAAGAAAAACTGAACAACTTCCTCACACATCTCAACAGCCTACACCCCAAAATACAATTCACCATGGAAACAGAAGCTAACAATCAACTTCCCTTCCTAGATGTCTTAGTATACAAAAAATCCAATGGCTCCCTAGGACACACCATCTACCAGAAGAAAACACATACAAATCGGTATCTACACGCACTCTCACACCACCACCCAGCACAGATCAATTCCGTAGTCGAGACACTCATCTCCAGAACAAAATGCTTAGCCGACGAACAATACCTAAAAACTGAACTACACACTCTCACTAACGTACTAACAGCCAATGGATTCCAAAGAAAGAACATTACCCACCTAATCCAAAAAGAAACCAAAATCCAAGACAGAGAACAAGAGAACGGCAAAGCCCTCCTCCCATATATAAAAAGCACTACAGACAAAATCAGCAAGATCCTTCAAAAATACAACATTAAGACAGCATTCTGCACAAACAGAAAAATATCCACCATCCTAAGAAACCCTAAAGACAGAATCGAGTTAGAAAACCAAGGAGTATACGAAATCCCATGCACCGCCAGCCCCACCACATACATCAGACAAACCAACAGAAGAATAAGTGCACGCATTGAAGAACACAAGAACTCAATCAAAAAAGAAGAACCAACCTCTTCCCTGGTCCAACACCTCAAAACCACAGGACATGAGATTGACTTTAAAAATACCAGAACTATCGCCAAAACCGAACACTTCAACAACAGAATAATCAGAGAAGCCATAGAGATAGAAAAACGCCCACACAGCATGAATAAATGAGATGATACCTCCCGCCTACTAGCCATTTGGAAACCCGCCCTCACTAACAAACGAGTACCTAACATGAACGATGACACCAGACCCACACCCACGAGGGCCACACAAGATGCTACCACCACACCTCCATGTAGAAAACAGACTCACACCCACACAGATGATGAGACACGACCACGGACCAGAAGTCGTACCGCAGCTGCATCACTACCCGCTTCAAACTCCTCCGACCCATACATGAAGCGAACGGACACCCACCATGAAGATGTGGCATGACCACGAACGGGAAGCGAAACAACAGGAACACAGCTCACCAGCTCAAATCCCCCCGGCAACTAAGACTAACCTGAGCACAAGCAAGCCCCCACCTGAACAGAACACACCCCCACCCAATCAGAACACAGCCAAGCCCCCACCCAATCAAATCACATTCCCACTAGCAGTTGAAAGGAAGAAGCAGCTGCAAGCTCACATTACTCTGAGAAGCACAAAGCCGAAGACACAAGCCTGAAGATGACGAATGAGATTTCATCGAAACATTGCCAAGATACTTCCAATTTTACGCGGGAGAAAACCTGAATAACCAAAGATCCACATACAAATACCCGCGAAATCCTCAGAAAACACACACACACACACACACACATATAGAGATAGATAGATATGTTTTGTGAGCTGAATTGGCTAGCAGTATTCTTTCAAAATGCTGGTAGTTACCTTTAAAACCTTTCATGGCTTGAGACTGGTTTACTTATTGAACCATCCCAATGATATCTTTCTTTCCTATTAGATCTGGTAGGAGAGGCGTGCACAGGGGCCTTTTTGTGAGGGAGTGTCAGGAAGAGAACTCTTTCTATCATGGTACCTACCAGAGGTGGTATTCAGCAGGTTCTGACCAGTTCTGGACAACCGGTAGCGAAAATTTTGAGTAGTTCAGAGAACTGGCAAATATCCACCTCTGACAGGAGATTTTACAGTATCCTTCCCCTGCCAGGCCCACCAAGCCACAATCATAGAACTGGTCGTAAAAAAAAATTAAATCCCACCACTGGTGCTTACCCTCTAGAACATTATCTCTTTGAGATCATACTTCCACTGATTCTAATTTGCTAGATTTATATCCTGTCTTACGTATAGGAGTTCAAGATGGCATACACTGCACTCCTTCCTATTGTTCCTATTGTTCCCACAACAAAAACTCTGGAATAGGTTGAACCAAAAGAGAGTGATTGTCAGACCCCAAACAAACAATGACATCTGGGGATTCTTACAAACTGAATTATTTAATTGTTCCATGTCTACAGACAAAATCTTGCAAAACCGAGTCTACCAAATATTCCATAACTATTAGGGAGGGGCTGTCTTTACCTTCCTTCTCTCACATATAACATCCAGACTGAATTGCCTTTTGCTTCTCTAGGAATCTTCCTTCCTTGGAATCCACCTCTTCACTACATTCCATCACAGTGATTGAGTCAATAAGCCACCTAATGAAGTGAAGTCACCTAATGAACCCGTGGCTGAAGTGGACTTGATTTTCCTCAATAGCAACTTGTAGTGTTAACCACAACTACTATGTTACAGCGACTCACTTTTTTTCTCAATTCTTTTGAGTTTCCAAAATATTTAATTCCAATGATTATATTTTATTTACTTCAAGGGCCAGAATGTAAACAACTGTGGTTACACCTATGATATATCTTCAAACAGTTGAGAATACTTCTCAGACTATAAATACTACCATAATCCAGCCACATAAAAATTTCAGACTGTATTTTCTATTATACAGATAAGGGTGATAAAATAATAAAGTTGTTACACTGCATGGCTGTGTTTAGAACAAAGTCCTTTTATCAGTTTTTCTGGGCCTTCATCATTCAGCAGGAGCATTGGGAATCCCTCTGTAACAGCACAAAACTAGAATAGGCGGTTGGATTCTTTTTTCTGTTTGACTAACTCATGGTTGCAGATAGGTTTAAAGATGATTTCAAAGCCAATTACGATAACTACTCACTGCAGACTGTCTTTTTTTTGAATCAACAAAAGATAAAAAGACCATCTGACTACCTCATAAAATTTATATGCCACCACACAGGTTAATAACCTACTACCTCATCTGATCTTCCAATATGTTTTTTTACCCACCTTTTTGAGGATCCTCTCAAAGACTGAACAATTCTGACATAGTCAAAAGTTCAGGTCAGTCATATTTAAAGTATTTGCCTCATTTTATTGATAGGAACTTTATTATTAGGGTTGTTGTGTTTTAAACAACAATGTTATATGATCTAGGAGTCTTTTGTATCAGTAGTGAGAACAGGCCCATATTAAATTATATAGCTTTACCTGGTTTACATTCATAGAAATCACAGCATTCTCCTGGCTTTCCTGATGCTTTGGAAACCAGTATATTCAAATAGCCAGGTTGGCAGACCTTCCTCAAACATCCTGCAGGATTGCAGACACAACGGCTCGGAAGAGGGCAGCATTCTCCAGGGGGAGCATAGCCTTCAATCAGAATAGAGTCCTCTGGACAGCGTGGAGAAAACTGCACTTCACAGCGGGCTTTGGAGCAGTCCGGTTTTTCTTCTGAAAGCAAGACAGTAAGCACACGTCAGGAAGACATTACCTGATATCTGAAGCTTCATAGTAATGAAAAGCCATACACACATATTATAAAATGTTTTTTAACAATGCTACGTACCCCAGCCAATTACATTGCAGTAGTGGTTCTTGAAGAACAGGAAAATTCATAAAGAAGATGGATTTACAAGGGATATTTCTAATAAATATAATTCCCATGAAAATGAGGTGTGCACATTTCCCTTAAAGATGAATGTTTGCTTGCTTGATCTTTTTCTTACAATAGATATCCTGATCCAAAATTCCATTGAGATAATCACTTGTAGTCCTTACAGAGATGAAGACAGTGATCACACAGAACACTAAAAATGTTTGGTTGCCTTAGGGACACAAGCCTAGCCAAGTCTGCACATATTTGGACTTTTTGTCTGTTTCTTAATGAAGACTACATTATTCCTTAATATCTTTTTGAAGAAAAAATAATGTCCCAGGTGGATTATAAGTGACAGCTATTTGAACTGCAACTATTTACTACATGTGGGGCTCCTTGCAAAGGGTGTTGGCACAAAGCTTACTGTGAATTGAGTCAGGTTTCTCAGCACTGTTGGTCTCAGCCAATGGAAGAGTTTAAATTATTTCTTTAGTTGTTATTTTAAGGAAGACTACTTTTCATTTTAGCAGAAGTTCATAAAACAGCTACTATTTCAAACAATAATACAAAATATTTTTTATTTATTATTTATTTGTATCTGGCCTTTATTTTTAGAAATAATTCAAAGTAGCAAACTTATCCAGCACAAGTTCGTCCTATTTTCCTCACAACATACTGTGAGGTGTATTGGGTTGAGAATGAGTGACTTAGCCAGCTTTCATGGCTAAGCTTTCTAGCTTGGTGCCTTAACCATCAGACCAAACTGTCCCAAAAATACTAACAAAACCAGCAATAAAATTAATACTAACAGAACCAGCAATACAAACTGAGGCAGGCTAAATAAACTGTTAAAATCAAGTGGATAATGCAATTTTTCATATGCAAACAGATACAATAACTTTTGGCACATTCCACAAGATCATAAAATCATTTTAAGTTAATGGATTAAATGGGTTTGAGCAATGGCAGCAGAATGAAAGAAATCATGCTGCTTATTTGAGCATAAAAGTTCTTCAAATTTTATTTCCCTGTTTTTGGGAAGTTATTAATTTTCCTTTGTTTCACATTACACTCTCCATCTTAAAGCTGATTAGGAGTAAATAACCATTTTCTGTTACAGTAGTCTTGCATTAACATAAAGCGGCATCCACAGATTCAGCCATGAGAAATTTCCCTATTACCGTTTCTACATTCACAGGATTTGAGAAATCAAAGGTTCATAGCAAGGACAAATAGCTAGTGAGATAAGCCAGTGCAGTATACTATAATAGTTGAATAGTTTCTCTAGTTTGATTCAGATCTTGTTCTAACATTTCTCCCATTATACAAAATGGCTTACATTATCTGTCTATCATCTATCTATCGACTTCTCCAGGCATTCTATGACCAAGTATAATCGGAGAACAGCTTATTACATCTGGCTGTGTGCTGTCCAGACAGTTTAGAGTTAATGGGATTTGGGATAGTTAGTTAGGACTTGTGCAAGAATCCACAGGACCACTCTGCTGCCATCTAATATAAGCCACATATGTTATTAGGAGTAGTTAATAATTGCATTTTTTCCTTTTCCATACAAAGTATGCAGTGTTTTAAAATCTACTTGGAAACAAAAGCTTTTCTTATGCATAGAAATTGTTGTTAATAAAACATATTTTGTACAAAGATATGCAAATAATGCTCATATACTTAGCGGCACTGGATGTTATCACACAGCTTGCAGCACACTCCTTCATAACTCTCAGAAACTTCAAATAAGTTATCTTGCATTTTCTTGGTTTTCTGGTTTCACTTTTGTCAATTCACATTTAGATGCAGCTATTCTCTTTTTTAAAAACCTACTCTCCCCACCCACATAATCAACTTTTTACTAGCTTAACCCCACTCATGCAATGTCCACCACTATCATCCTTGCTAGAACAAACTCTACTGGAGAAGGGCTGGATCTTCTTTAGAACTGGGGAGGAGGTAAAAGTATAATTATTACAATATTTAGTTTTTCAAAGGAGCATAATTATTACAATATTTAATCTTTTTAAATAACTAAATGCATTAATAAACCCATTACTCTATAAACAATATTAAAATATATCAATGCCTCCTAGTAGAATAGTTAGGAGTAATTAGTAGGGCAGTCTATCCTTGCTTATTTCAGTTGTGCAGTTGCTGAACCATTAAAATTATTTCAGATGCAGTCAAGACAAATGGAGAGGCAAAGACTTAAGCATAAGTCAAAGTTCTGAGAAATAACTTTCTGTCCTACCCTTCCTTTGACTGCCACCAACTGCAGCTCATGGGTATCTGAGCAAACATTCAATAAACATTAGTCTAGAAAAAATCCTGCATGGTCTGGAAAAATCCTACAACTTTTTAATGGGGCACAATGCTTTAGGATTTTAGTGAAGTATTCATGTACTCTGAGGGTAATTATTTCCCATTAATTTTGCATGATAACCTCAAAATATTTATTTAATACAGCAACAATTTCACAATTGAATTCTTTAAGAATGCATAATTGGAAATGTTATCTGTTATCGTTTAATGACTAAATGATAACATCTCAATATCTTATGGAAGGAAGATTATAGTGAAAAAAATCATTCTGGGAGCTTATTTATCTTATGATTTTGTTCCCTATTTTCATCCTGTATTAATATTAAGTGCTACCTTAGGAAGGGAATGGACTAGAGTAAAATATAAAGACTGGAAAAAAACCCAGCTGATTACATATCGTTCTGATTCCCCCCCCCCCAACTGATTTAGCTAATTATTATTTTTCATTTGTCAAAAGTGTTCAAGTCTCACTGCATTTTAGAGGCTTCCATGTCATCAGGCCACCTGAACGAGGACTCAGCTGTAAATCTGCAACCTCCTACTTTACAAGGCTTTAACTATTTTTGAACTTTGCATAAATCTCTTAGATACTTGACACAGTGTGGCCAGATAAAGTCTTTACTGCAAACTACTGAAACTGGTTAGTCCTATGCATGGCAGGGAACCACTCTATCTTTGTCCTACCTGTCCCATGTTTCAAAGGTCTCTTTGCATTGCCCCTCATAGTTTTGAAGGCATGTAACAGTTGCCTTGAGAATCTTTCTCTTTCCACCTGTCTCTCACATGTGTTATTCTCTTGTCTGCAATTTGGAGATTATTATAGCTCTTATAAATTGTTTCTAATTTTGCAGAAATAAACCATCACCTCCTTCTCCATCATAAGTCTAGTTTTCTTTAAGCTATCTTTACTGCATTGCCAGTGATTTTTACTGTTAATGATATGCAGGTTCTAAGGTTCCTTAAAGAGCAAAAAATAACCAATGATTTGCTGACCTCTTTTTTATATAGTATGACTGCCTTCACTGAAAGAATAAAATAGTAAAAATAAAGAAAAATCCTGTATCACCATGAAAGTAAAAACCAACCAAACAACAAACAGGACAAAAAAGATCTGAAATAATGATCAGCAACACTTTATCCAGTGCTAGACTTTCAGAAAAAGTATGAAGGAACAAGAAAAGATGCAGATATAATATAAATGAAATGAAAATTGGGACATCATCCACAGGAAAATTAAGCTCTAAAATACCCATGGACAGAAAAAAGAAGGGAGGAAAACATGGTTAATTTTTTCTTCTTCTCAGCCTGAGAACAATTCATAGCCCATAGGGCTGCTCTATCTGGATTACCATTTTTCATATTTTTCTTCTCTCCTAACTTTTAGATGTTCTTATTGTATAGTACAGAAAACAAAAACAAAAACAAATGTTTATTCATATCTGGAGCATATCTAATTTAATAACTAGTTTATATGCACAAAGAACTGCTTATCCAACTGGTCTGAAATGAGCAATGAAAAATAAAAATTACAAATTCAAACAACTTATCACAATTGACAATTTCTGTCAATGAAGATTATTGGAAAATAATCTTAATAAACAATGCATGTATCTCCAACAAAATGATTGGTCATATGCAAATATATCAAATATTTTAGAAAAGGCATAAGTACTGAACATTTACTAGTTCAAGTTATGTTTACAGTAAAATATATATATTTTTTATTCTAGCTCTAAAATCTAAACCTTTGACCACACTTGACATGCTAGTTAATGTACAGCACAGTAGAATTGCCAATATGATAGATGTTCAATGATTTCATATTACATTTTCTTACCGGGGAACACTTTTGTTTTATCATAGTGTTTATAAAATAAAATAATATTTATTAAAGCACTTTTTTTGCCAGACTTTTTTTTTTGCCAGAAACCAGCAAAAAATGTCACAAATTGTAATCATGTGAGTGCAGGATACTGCAAATGGTCATAACTATGAGTTGGTTGCCAAGTGCCTGAATTGTGATCACAGAACTGTATGGTAGTGGATGGGGCAAGGGTCTTCCATGCAAGTACGGTTGTAAAGTACTTTTTTCCAGGGCCATTGTGACTTTGAATTTAAATGAATAGTCATGTATCAAGGATTACCTGTAACAACAGGCAATATTTATCAGGGCTGTGCTAAATGCTAGATGCTGACTCATCTAGAACAGCGGGGGGGGGGGGGGCTATCTGAGGATGCTTTTTGTGGATTTTAGTTCTGCGTTTAACACAATTCTTCCACATAGACTAGTGCCTAAACTTCTGGACCTTGGGCTTTCTAATTCAATCTGCCTTTGGATTATGGATTTCCTGTCTGGCTGCTCACAGAGGGTCAGATTAGGAAATCATACCTCTGCAGCCCTTATTCTTAACACTGGTACACCACAGGGTTGTGTGTTAAGTCCCTTACTCTATACTCTTTATGTGCATGACTGCATTCCCACTCATGTTAGTAATACTATTGCTAAATTTGCAGATGATGCAAC